CTGCCGCTTGCTGAGGGGACAGCGCCAGGATGGCCAGTCCCTGGCCGTTCACGTCGACGGTAAGATCCCCTTCCCCGACCCGCCTGCTGCCCTCTCTGACGCCCCCGCGCCCGCTGAACGTGAGGCCTTTGGAGTTGCTGAGCTCGCCCACTCCGCCTGGGAGTCGCGCGACAAAGTCGCATAGCTTGCAATCAGTCGCGCCCTCCCCCTGTCTGAGCGCCCCCGCTACCAGGCCCTAGAGACTGCGCAGGAGTACTTAGATGTCATCATTGCGGGCTATTCCTCTCCCTCATCCGCCTCTGCCAGCCGTCTTCTTCTCCCCCTGGTCTTCCCTGACCTTGCGTCCTTTTGTACTGTCGCTGATCTCGCCACTCACCTGTGCGTGCTAGAGGCCAGCTACCGCGCTGCTAACACTGAGGCTCAACTCCTTGTACTGCCTCCCCCCCTCGGCGCTACCCTCTACTTTCTTTGCCACCCGCCTTCTTGATCGCCTGGCCACTGCCCGCGACCACTTCTTTGGCCTCCACCTCGTTGAATTTGTCACTACCATGTCCGCGATATAGACCCGCCAGTGCGCTATCGCCCAGTCGAGCGGTACTGCGGCGGTCCCTATCTTCCAGGGCTGTGCTCCCTCCCTGCGCACTTACTATGACGGCTCTGCCGCTGTTGCTGAGTCGGCCAATGCTGCTGAGACCGCTACGGCGGCCTCAGCCCAGTCTCGTCAGGGTTGGGGACGCCAAGCCCGAGGGGGGGGGGGGCGTGGCGGCAAGAGGGGTGGCAGGGGTGGGGGGGGGTAGCGGAGGTGGCGGAGGTGGTGGAGGGGACGGTGATGCGGACGAGGGGACCAGGGCTGGTGCCCCGGCGCAGCATTAGCCTTAGCAGCAGCAATAGCCGCAGTAGCATTAGCAGTTGCAGCAGCAGCCATAGGGACCCTTGCCACCGTGGTGACCTGGAGGCTCTGGTGGTGGGCCGCACAGCTCGGTGTCGGGTGGCAAATCCAGTGTGGTCACCTGCCAGTGCCAGCTTCAGTACGGCCCCCGCTGCGGCACAGTCTGTGACTGTCACGGTCACATCGCAGCTCGCTGCTACCGTCGCCTCAACGACCTCTTCCGTCTCCGGTTCGGCCTTATGCTGAACCCCCCTGACTGGCACAGCCTGGTACGTCACCGTGTGTTGGTCTTTGAGATGGATATGGATAAGGTTACCTCTTCTATATATTCCATATATGCTGATGAATCTAGTGTGACTGGACCTTATTACCCTGTGTTGCCTAGTATAGGTTTGCCCCTTGTGTGTAGTCAAGGCTCCCCTGCTGCGTCAAGCGTAGGACCTCCTAATATGTTCAGCATAGGCTCCACGCTAGCCCCTCTGCCGGCTGCCGCTACCGCCGCGCTTTCTTTCACGCTAGACTCTGGTGCGTCCGCCTGCTTCTTTTGTGACCAAACTGTGCTCACGCCGGTTGCCTCCCCTGCCGCTGTAGCGCTTGCTGACCCCTTCTCAGTTCCAGTAGTTGCAGGTAGCTCTACTACCCTTCCCTGTCAGGCAGTTCCCTCGGGCTCTCTTCCAGGCTTACACATCCCCTCGTTCTCCAGGAACTTAGTTGGTGTCGGCCGTCTTCAGGACCTCGACGTCACCACTACGTTCCCTGGACACGAGCGGTACGCGGTCTGCACCGAGGCCGCCACTGGTTCCCCTCTCACCACGTTCCCCCGTGACCTGGTGTCTGGCTTGTTTATGCCTGACACCGCGTCCCCCCCGGTGGGGGCGTCTCCCCTCGTGGCTGCACCCTCCCAGGTCGCTGCGGCTTGGTCGTGTTGGTCGCTCACTCACCCGTCGCTTCTGTTGCACCACCACCTAGGTGACCCCGCACTCCCGCGTCTGCATCACATGTCCCAGCACGATCTTAACTTAGGTCTCCCTACGTCGCTCCCTGCTCTTCCTCCCTCGCTTGCGCCGCCGTGCACACCCTGCGTCGAGGATCGGCTGCACTATGCTCCTCACTCTTCCTTGCTTCCCCCTGACACTGCACCATGCCAGACCCTGCACCTGGACGTCTAGGGCCTAGCCCCCGTCCCTGGGCAGCGTCAAGAGCGCTACTTTCTAGTGCTTGTCGACGACTATACGCGCTAGACCACAGTTTTTCCTCTGGAGCAGAAGGCCGACGTGCCTGACGTTCTTATCCCGTGGGTCGTAGCTGTACGAGTCCATCGCGGTCTCCCTGTGCTGCGTCTTCACTCCGACCATGGCGGCGAGTTCACCTCCGGCCGGCTTAGCGAGTTCTGTCGTGCGGAGGGCATCACCCAGTCGTACACCCTGCCGGACACCCCGCAGCAGATTGGGGTCACTGAGCGACGCATTGGTTTGGTCATGGAGGTGGCTCGTACCTCCATGATCCATGCCGGTGCACCCCATTTTCTATGGCCGTTCGCTGTTCGCTATGCTGCTCACCCGCTTAACCTGTGGCCACACTCGCAACGACCGCAGGTTTCGCCGACCCTCCTCTTGACCGGGTCCCCTGGTGACGCGTCTGCGTTCCACGTCTGGGGCTGCCTTGCTCACGTTCGTGCCTCTGGCACGAACAAGCTCACTGCCCACACTGTCCCTTGTGTCTTCCTTAGCTTCCCCTTAGACTCGTCTGACTGGCACTTTTACCATCCGTCGTCTTACTGTTTCTTTCACTCTCGTGACCTCATTTTTTACGAGTCAGTCTCCTTCTACACGTGCTTTCCCCACCGAGGTCTCCCGGTTACCCCGCCCCTGTTTTTGGTTTCCACTCCTCGAGTAGCCCTTGCTCCTCTCCCTCCCCGTCCTGCCTCGTCTGGTGTGTCTCTTTGTAACTCCCCTCTCATCGGTTGTCCCGGTGGAGGAGTCGGCTGACTATGGGGGACCTGCGGCTCCCGTTTTGCCACCTATCTCCGCCTTAGTGTCTCCTCCTCCGCCGCCGCAGCAGTCGCCGCCGTCGCCGCAGCAGCAGCAGCAGCAGCAGCCGCCATCACCGACGTCGCAGCTGCAGCAGCAGTCGCAGTCGGCGTCGCCGCAGACGCAGCTGCCGCAGGGGTCAGCGAGCTCTGAGGGTGCGGGCATTGAGGAGGGTGCTAGTCCTGGGGGTACTGTCGTGGCTTGTCCCAGTGGATTGGGGGTGGCATCGGTACTGGAGAGGGTTCTTATTCTCGGGGTGCTGGTTCTGGGGGTGCTAGTCCTGGGGGTACTGTCGAGGCTTGTCCCGCCACTCCTGGGTGTGGCACCGGTGCTGGAGAGGGTTCTCGTTCTGGGGGTGCTGTCGTGGAGTGTCTCGGAGGTAGCCGTGGTGCGGCTGGAGGTTCGGGCGTTGGCGTGGAGCAGCAGCAGCAATCGCCGCCGATGTCCGCCCTTCGCTTCGTGGGTCTTTCCTCCTCCGACCGCCGGCCTGTGCCTCCCCCACTGCCGCCTCCCCCGACTGTGTTTCCTTCGCCGAACTTGACTCAGGCTCGTTTCCCCCCTCGTTCTCGTCCTCTCTCTCCTCCCTTGACCCGACCCCCCCTCTCACTGGTGGTCTCACCGTGCCTCTCATGCACGTCATGTTTCTCCTATCCTGTGCTCTCACCCTATGTTGCTCCGCTCTCACGCGTCTCGTGCTCCTCTTCTACTATCGCCTCCTCATTTGTCGCTTGCGCCTAAAGATCATCAGCGGCACTGTGTACAGCTTGGTCTAGTTCCAGTAGCTCCTCACTTGCTAGGACCTTGATTGTGTACTTTTCTTTTATATATTCTCATGACTGGCCTTGTGGCTTCTGTTCCAATGACCGGACTAGTAGTGCCGCCTTGGTTTGCTCTTGTCTAGTTTGTACTCTTCTTACTGGTCTTTGGACCCTTGCCTCAGAGGTTGGACTAGTAGTGCCACCCTGAGTTGCATGTCTCATGCTAGGCACTGCCCCTTGTATAACCTAGGGGGTGTGTCAACATATCTATATATTGTTATAGGCTAGATATGTGCATGCTTATAGAGAGTATAGCACCATAGTACAAGACCCGCCTGTATGCCTCATTCTAGTCATTGCGTTGTTATGAGAATATCAGCTGTAGCCTTTTGTTTTGTCTTACTGGTGCTGTAAAGCTACAAGCGTCCTCCTCACACCACCATCTTTCTAATGTTCCATTGTCAATTTCACTTCACCCTCCACATACGAGCCATGTCTCTACTTGCGTTTGCCACCTAGAGATGCTCATATTGGACATAACAAATGTAGAAATGAACCACAAGTAAAAGTCAACGGAAGACTTTACACCTTGTATTGGAAATGTCTGAAATGACATGGATAATAATACTGAGTAATACAGTCATATTTATAGTATAGTCTAGGAAGTCATATCGGTCTCGCGTTGTCGGACCGATAATATTCTTCGGCTGCATCTGCTTTGTCTTGAGTGGCGAAACTCCGCTCGCCACTGTAGCGATCATGATCCCGCTGCTGGTGTTCTTTGTCGCTTTCGAAGTCATCGAGAAAATTTTTCTCGTAGAAGATGCAGTCTCGGGAATACAAAAACTTTCGGGTTTTGTAATCCATAATTATTGAGGAGTAGGAATCTTTAAGTACATCGATGTGTATTCCTTATCGACCTGCCCACAGTTGCGCTCGGAGGTCAGTATTGGACCATGCAGCCCCAAACTCGTAACAGTCAAGTGTCGGCGGGGTGTTTTGTCCACATGATATGTGGCGAGCTGAACTGAGGAAGAGTTGTTCAAGACAAGCAGTTGTGTAGGCGGACAGCTTGTGCCATCGCAAACGGCCAGAAGTCTGCTGTCAAGTTGGACTGTTACAGCAGCACACGCATCTTCTCTTGCAGCATCTTGTTACCGTATTCCCCCAGATATACGCACCGCCGGCTAAAACACACCATGGTGCGTATATCCGGAGGGGTGCCATATCGGAGGTGCCAAATATACGCACCCTTATAATCACTAGTTTCTAATCCCCATAAGCACCCCCCCCCAAAAAGCATCGATTTCTTAAATTAACAGTACATGAATTAACAGTTCATTAACAGTTTCACTTTTTAATTAGATGTACGAAGTCACATCTATATTAGTCAACTTCTACAGTTAGATCATCTACCATGCTCTACAGCCTACACCTCGACTACCTAAATAGATGCACAGCCTCCAATTTCTATCAGCTTCGCCTCGTCTACCATGTCCAACAGTCGTCGCCTCGTCCAAGTGCACTCCCTTCTCCCCTTCGTGTCAACCCTCCTCCTCCTCCTCCTCCTCCTCCTCCTCCTCCTCCTCCTCCTCCTCCTCCTCCTCCTCCTCCTCCTCCTCCTCCTCCTCCTCCTCCTCCTCAGCTGTGGTCGAGTTGTCCCCCATGAATTCGTCGGCCCCGGTCTCATCGTTAACATCCACGGTGGCCTCCTTGGGGTCTCTCATGTGCCTCAAGCACAAGTAGTCTTTGGAGCCATCCAGGGCATTCGAGATGCCGCAGGTTTTGAATGCCTTCTAGATAAGGGCAGCAGGGATAGCCTTCCATGCCTTGAAGACCCATTTCAGGGTCTCCTCTGGTGGCGGCTTCCTCAAATTTCGTGCAGCAGACAAAGAACACATCATTAGTTATTGGTGTGAAGATGGAGCATAGCAGGCACGACAACAAGGAACAAGCTAACCTTTGGGGGTGAAGATGGTGCAGCCGATGCGGTCGAACCACTCCTAGTAGTACGAGCGAAACAGCGCCTTGAAACTGCGGTTCACGGCCACGTCGAGCGGTTGTATGACCGAGGTGCAGCCGGCAGGGATGATGCCGGCCACCACGTGGAGCTTGCTGTAGGAGTCCTTCACTTCAGGGGTGAGATGATCGCGGTAGGAATCCAGGATGAGGAGAGCAGAGCGGGCATGGAGGCCGAAGTTGGGCTCGATGAATGGCCTGACCGCCTTCTCAAGCCACTCTATGACACCAGCGGAGTCCATCCATCCATTTGGTTGGGCGGCTACCACGACATCTGCATTGTCGAAATAGAATCCGTTTGTAAAATCTTAAAAATCATGGAAACGCATACGCAGACAACTCAAAGCGCATGAATAAAGCTTACCGGGAGGGAAATTTTCATTGAGTACGGTCGCGCGCTTGAAGAAGATCCACGGCTTGAGCTTCTTGTCGGTGGCCATGCAAGCAAGCATCACTGTAACGTGTTCCTTGTGCTAGCCCGCGTCTTGATCGGCACCGAAGTCACCCCGACTTGGTCCACGGTCCACTCTACTGGCATCTCCAACTAGGCAGGCGTTTGGTCTGCATTGATGATCCAGTGGTCGTCAATCGAGTAGCCCCTCCTCGCATCACGACAGAACTGCCAGAAGGACTCCACTTGTTCCTTGCACTCTGCGTTCAAGTCGCCGAAATTAGCATTGAAACACGTTTCAACAGTTCCAAAATTAACATTCGAGGTTGCAAGGCAGAGGCAGCATATACGTGTCGGCCTTACCTTCGGTCATTTTCTGGCCGACCTTTGTGTAGGCCCGAACAAAGAGGCCCCATCGTTTCCTGAAGCGAATGCTCCACTTGTGTACGCCCTTCACTTGCGCTGTGTCATCCAGGATCTGGGGGAGGGAGGGCGGCTGTCGAAATTTGTTGTCGTGGATGAAGGCGCCTCCTACCTTCGTGGAATGTTGGGATGGGTAGCTTCTCGGGTAGCCCGTCACGGTGCCAGTACTTTGCCTCCTCCTCATCCATTTCCTTCCACTGGCCGCGTTCTGGCCAGTCGTCGCCGTTGGGAATCCCCCAGTCGCGAGCCTCCTACTCATACGAGATGCTCTCCACGTCGCATCGGTCGGGCTGGGGCGGGAACGGGTCGCCGAGCAGCAGCAACGTCAAAACAGGAACTCCGTCGACCTCTGTCAAGGGCAACCACAAAGACCATGGCTGCGAGCTCCCAGGAACGGAGGGCGCCGGAGGAGCCGGAGGTGCAGGCGGTGCAGGAGGAGACGGGGGAGCGGGAGGAGCAGGCGGCGCGGGAGGAGCAGGGGGTGCAGCATGGAAACCACCAAATCTACTAACTCAGGCAGCAGCTATGTCCTGTCTAGAGAGGCGTGTTGGTGTATCAGGGCTGCCGAACAATATAGACATGACTGTGCATGGAAGGCCAGCCATGGTGGCGGCCTGGCAAGAGAGGAAGCATGAAGACGCCTGGTCAAGAAGCTACTGAAATAATGAAGCTTCAACCAGGGTGTTCCCCAATTCCTCAGCGGGGAATTCCTCTTCGTGCAGCCCATGACAATGCACAAAGAGGATTCCTCTTCCTTTCCGAGCTGAGAGGGTACCGTCGTGGCAGCACGAAGCTGCCAGCAGATTCTTCTGGAGCTTCCAGCTAGCCTTGCTGGATGCTGCCCGCCGAGCATGTAGTTGCGATTGGACCGCCAGGCAGCATATTCGCACAAAAACTCCAACGCAGCATCACCAACATTTTAGCAGTGACAGCGTCCGCGCCGCTGTGCTCGTGGTTGGTCCGTTTGGCAGCATCCACACACGCCTGGCTGGTTCGATGTTTCCGGACTAGTTTCATGCGAATCTCTGTTGTATTCGCTGCTGCAAAATTTTGAATTGGGTTAGAAGTACAGTTTGATGCCATTTTTTTTCTAAAAAAAAAACCACTTCAAACGCACTGGGCCATATCGCAGAAATTCGAATAAACGCACCCCCCAAAATTTGACTACAGTCCCTAAACGCACCTAGGTGCGTATATCCGGGGGAATAGGTAGCTATCTAAGCTAATCCATTCTGCTGATGGGCGTAAGGCACACACTTGCGCATGAGTATCCCTTTCCGCGCCATGAATTTATCGAACTGCTCGCTAGTATTCTCGCCCCCGTTGTCTGTCTTGATGTCTTTCGGTTAGACAACGCTCTGATACCATGTAGAAATTAACCACGAGTTTAGGTTGGCCAGGATATAGAGTTGGTGGTGTTAGAATACGTGAATAATTACTAGAAGGGAAAACATGACACATATAGCAGTTGGGTTGTACTCACTAGGAGCACACACCGATACTAGCCTATAACTTCTACATGCATAACATGTATGAGTTGACACACCCCCAAGGCTAGAGGAGGGGTGGTGCTAAGGAACAAGCACACAGCTCAGGGCGGCACTACTAGTCCAGCCATTGAGAGAGGGGTCCAGAGACCAGTCAACAGGAGTACAAACAAGACAAGAGCACGCCAGGGTGGCACTACTAGTCCAGCCACTGGAGAAAAGGCCACAAGGTCAGTCTGACAGATATATATAGTAAGGAGTACACAATCAAGGTCCTAGCAGGTGAGTAGCTACAGGAATAAGACCAAGCTGTAACACAGTGCCGCTAATGATCTTTAGGCGCAAGCGCCTTAGTAAAGTATCAAGTGTGTTGGCACCGGAGGCCAAGTGAACTACGCGGGCCTGGCACCGCTGTTGTAGCTCGCGTAGGAGGAAGTACCGCAGCTAGATATGCTTCGCTCTGCCCTCAAGTCAAGGCTCCCGACACAGGAGGATCATGGCCCTGTTGTCAGCGTACAAAACTGGGGCAGAGCTAGGCCGCTCACCTAAGTCAGTGAGCAAGAAGGTCAGCTAGCGGAGCTCCAGTGCTGCCATGGCACCAGCGTAGATCTCAGCCTCACAGCTGGGCTGAGCCACAGACGACGAGCGAGTAGACCGCCACGAGATAGCACTGGACCGAACGCTAAAGCAGTCTGAGATGACCGGAGAGTCTCAGCGTCGTCTGCGCAGGAAGCGTCTATGTGCCCAGTAAGGACCACTGGTCTGCGTCCACCAAGCACTAACCAGGTCGTCTACGTAAACGAGGATGTAGAACGGAGTCTGGCCGGAACGAACGAAAAGCGAAGGGTCAGCAGAGGACGGAAAGAACTGCAAGTCTGCTAGGGTGGCACGCAACGTGCCATGCCACTCGCGGGGAGCCTGGCGCAGGCCGTAAACTAGGCGCTTGAGAAGCCACTGGGTCCCAGGAGGGAAGGTACCAATGAAGCTCTGTGGACGGCGTAGGTAGACCTGCTTGTATAGGCTGCCCTGAAGAAGAGCAGTAGAGAAGTCGAGGGAGTGGAGCTCGTAGGCACGCTGTGCTACTACGTGTAGCAGCGCCCGAAGAGTAGTCATCTTCGGGGTCGGGGCGAAGGTCTGGAAGAAGTCCACCCCCTCACACTGGCTGAAGCCTCTAGCCACGTAGCGCGCCTTGAAGAAATGCGGCTCTCCTGGGGGGCGCTTCACCTTGAAGAGCCACCGACCATCGACTAGGTTCACCCCAGGCGGGGGAACTGCGTCGACGTAAGTGCCGGTGGACCTCCAAGATGCCATCTCTTGCTCCATGGCAGCTATCCACTGAGAGGACCAAGGTCCCGAGGTGGCCTCAGCGTAAGTGCGGGGGTCGGGATGTCGAAGGCGTCTGGGTCACCCTCTGGGACTAGGAGCATGGAGCAGAGTTGGGGAGCGGCCTCTGAAACGAAAGCAAGCTCGTACTGCCTGTCCTCTAGAACGTCACTGCCAAGGGCAGGTGCACCCCCGACGGACGGAGGATGGGCAGGGTAAGAGACCAGAGCGGTAGCGTAGTCAAGGCGTCGGGTAGAGGCGAAGTCAGCGACAGCAGTGACAAGCGCGTCAAGGGACAGACGGGTCTGTAACAAGAGAAGCAAGAACCCGAGGGACAAGGGGACGAGCACCACGGAAGAAGTGAGACAGCGGAGGAGGGGCAACAACAAGCGACGAGGGAGGAGGCGACAAGAGGAGGGGAGGACGAGACGAGTGGGAACGGAGCAACATAGGGTGAGAGCGCAGGACATGAGAGACGGGGCGAGCACGGGAGGGACGGCGAGACCAAACGTGGGAAGGAGGAGTAGGGTCAGGAGACAGCGGAGGGGACACAAGAGGGGAACGAGGAGGAAGACGTGGCGGAGACGAGTCCGGCGGCAGGAACACAGGGTCGTAGACAGGAAGGTGAGGAGGTGGCGGGGGAGACACCGGCGAGCGGTCTGGGAGGGAAGGTCGAGCAGGCAAAGAGCGGAGACCGGCTGCGACGGCTGCGATGACGGCTGGTGCCCGACCCCCGGACCGGCAGAGGCACGACGACCGCCGGGAGAACACTCAACGGCAGCACCTCCAGAACCAACACCCCTATAGCAAGAACTCCCTCCAGCACCAGCGGCACCCCCAGGCTCACCGGGAAAGACGACGCCAGGAGCCGCAGGACGAGCACCCTCCTCATTGCCAGCACCCCCAGAGGCCAAGAGCGGCAGCGGCGGCGACGGCTGCGACGGCGGCGGCGGCGGCGGTGGCAGCGGCGGCAGCGGTGGCAACGGCTGCGACTGCAAAAGCGGCGGCGGCAACTGCGAAAGCGGCGGCGGCGACTGCGACAGCGGAGATGGAGACACCGGGGAAGGGGGACGCGACATGGGCGGGCCGGGGGGACAACCAGAGTCAGAAGACTCCTCAACGGGGACAACCGACGGGAGGGGAGTGATGTGAGAGACGCCAGACGGGGCTGGACGAGGCAGGAGGGGAGCAAGGGCTACCAGGGGAGAGGGAGCAAGGAACAGGGGTGGGGAAACCGGGAGACCTCGGTGAGGGAAGCGACGGTAGAAGGAGACCGACTCGTCAAAGGTGACGTCATGAGAGTGGAGGAAGCGGTGAGACGGCGGGTGGTAGAAGAGTCAGTCAGACGAGTCTAGGGGGAAACCAAGGAAGACACAAGGGACAATGCGGGCAGTGAGCTTGTGCATGCCAGAGGCACGAACGTGAGCAAGGCAACCCCAGACGTGGAAGGCTGACGCGTCACCGAGGGACCCGGTCCAAAGGAGGGTCGGCGAAACCTACGGCCGCTAAGAGCGGGGCCACAAGTTAAGTTGGTGAGCAGCGTAGCAAACAGCGAACGGCCACAGAAAATGGGGGGCATCGGCATGGAGCATGGAGGTACGAGCCACCTCCATGACCAAGCCGATGCGGCGCTCAGCAACCCCATTTTGCTGTGGCGAGTCCAGCAAGGTGTACGACTGGGTGATGCCCTCCGCACGACAGAACTGTCCAAGCCGACCAGAGGCGAACTCGCCGCCACGGTCGGAGTGGAGACATAGCACGGGGAGACCGCGGTGGAGACGGGGAGCCACAACCCACAGTAGAAGAACGTCGGGCACGTCGGCCTTCCGCTCCAGGGGAAACACTGTGGTGTAGCGCGTGTAGTCGTCGACGAGCACCAGAAATTAGCGCTCACCGCGCGGTCCGGGGACAAGGGCCGGGCCCCAAACGTCCAGGTGCAGGGTCTGAAGGGGGGCAGTAGCAGGGCGAAGCGAGGAGGAGTGAGGAGCACGGCAGAGCCGGCCCTCGACGCAAGGCGTGCACGGTGGCGCAGTCGAGGGGGGAAGGACAGGGAGCGACGCAGGGAGGCCTAAGACAAGACCGTGCTAAGACATGTGACGCAGACGCGGGAGAGCAGGGTGACCCAACCTGTGAGAGTACGACCCCG